GCTTATTAGGCCTCCGCCGCTAGTAGCTGGCATGACATAAAGCACATAATAAGAACTTGGAGCGTACGGTATGGTAGTAAGGTGAGGCAATCACAGGTGCTATTCAAGTGATCTGTCGATTTCCCTATTGCGGTAACGACAGGCGTTTTCAAGATCTCGTCGCTAGCTGACGAGGGACACACTCAGTTGGCAACCAACGCGCACTGCTTGCTACAACTGCTCTATGACCTTCTGAGTGGGAGAAATTCCTCCGGTTGGTGTTTCAGATCTACTAACTGGTAGAGGTTAGCTATACGATTGTCATGATCCTATGGTAAGGATAGCCGCCTAAACATGATATGGGAATAGGAACGCCACATCCACTTAAAAGAGATGACATTGCGATAAATTTCAGAAAGGGTAAATATTGCCGCGTCTTCACCCCGGCATAAAATTGTAACCTTAATCGTAATTTTGAATTCTACAGTGAACACGACCCCAAACCGTAACACCTAACATAATCCTAACCACAACCTAAACCAAATGTTTTCCCCGGATTCCCGCCCCCAAGTCTGGCTTAAGCGGCCATACGAGTAATCCTCACTGACCCTAGTACTTTAGTTTTAAAAAAAAACTCACAACGTCAAGTTCAGTAAAAGATACTGACCTTGATGGTCTGCAGGGCGGCCTCCATGTCCGGCTGTAGTCGCACTCCACCCTCCTTACTGGTGGACTTCTCGGACACAAAACAGGACAACACGCCGGCCAGTTGTTCAGGAGTCATGTCACTGAAAAAGCCATCCAACAACAGCTCCGTGAGCATGAGTTCATCACCAGTGGAGATCTCACAAGCAATTCGACCCTTCAGGTGTATGACATCGTCCTCGGAGCAGAAACCCAGACGCCGGAGGACGCGTTTACGAGAGATTAGTTCGTCCAGCTGAAGCAGCGACTCCTTTTTGTTTAACTCTTTGCTAGCCGCTGTTAATTCGGAGAATTTCTGAAGGAGAGAAAAGAGACAGGAAGATGGGATATTAGGGGGTGACAGAAGACAAAAGCGGGGTACAAACTTTCACCTGGACTACACAGGCAGGAGAGGGGCATTAAATGAGGAATGATTGGAGATTCCTTACGGGTTCTGTTACTGACCTAACTCAAAGCTGTAATGAAGTACATAAACGTGCTTGGAGAATAAACCCAAGGTGATAGGTCACGCAAAAGCCTGAAGGACGAAGGATCCAGCCCATGTTGGTCAATAACAGTCATGGCAGAAAACCGGATCAAACAAAATTCAACTATTTGGAAAGACAGCAACTGTACCAGAGCGCGTGAAGTACGCCAATAAAAAAATATTTACAGTAATAAAACAAACTATAAAATAAACGGACTGTTGAAAACTTTAACATAAATTGGAAGTAGGTGGGGAACAAACCTCGGCGCGCTTGCCATAAGTATGAAGAAGGTACTCGAGTTTAGGGTGCTGACTCAGCGGATTGAGCTTCAAACGGGCATCAAGGAGCTGAATATTCTAAAGTCGAGAAAAAGGGGAGAGTAGAAGAAAGGCCGCTCGTAAGTAGAGTGCGGTTTCAGAGCAAGCAGAAACAGTTGGATGCGGCGCAGACATCTCCTCGTAGTAGATTAGCAAACTTAACTATTCAAGGCAGGGCCAACGGCAGTTTAAAAAACGGAGCCCACGGACCATAACAGAGTTTAAATGCCAAGAATATTGGACATTTTCCCGACGTTTTGAACTCTAGGTCATCAGCCGGGAAGAGGAAAATCGCACAATTGGATATCGACCAATCTCAGGTCTGTTTGGTATTCCTGTGTACATTGAAGGGAGTCAAATGTGGGGTCACACGACAGTCCCGTGTTCAGCTATGCACATACTAGTGAATGGAGAGCAGCCCGATACGCCCATTGGTCCATACTAGAAATTGCTTCCCGTCCCATAAAGCCTGGCACCGAATCCGGACAGATATGTAATCGGAGTTACAGACTCGCGTCTTACCGGTTATGATTGAGAATATATAAGTTCACATATAAGGTTCGACGTGAATTCAAGCTCAAGTTCCTTTTAAGACAGATTGATGAAATATGAAGCTAAACTTAGACAACCCCAGTTAGATATCCTGCAGATATTTTTGGTAACTGCCGAACTAAAAGGCAGAAAAAATTTTTGCTCTATTTGATAAACCACATGCTAAAAACAATTATTTCCAAAGGCATAGTCCACCGAAGGTCCGGCATGCAGCGGTGTCCTGTAAATGAATTAAATCTTAGCCCTCTGTCAGCATAAATGCTGAAGAAAACAACAAATGTATGGGGTTTCCATAATTACATTTTGTATTGCAGACCAGTGGACAATTCATCGCTGATTACCAGACTGGGGAATCCTCGGCTGTGGGTTCCAGTTGATGGGAACAGGCAAGGATGGTGAACTGGGATTAATGTAAGCCTAAAAGGCGCAATCAATTTCTTTTAACCCCGAAAATGTGTAACAAAAAGGACCGAGAAGACTCGTTCTGTCCACATTCTTGATGAACTTGCAGTCAGTGATTTGGGGTCATTGAAAAAAGAGGACTATAGGCATTCATCAGCGTGGTCCTTTTTAAATACACATGACATCGCAAGAAACGACAGGTGCAACCAGAACGAACGGTAAACATACTCAGACAAATTAATTTGAGTTCCCTTAACTCAGTGCAGGACTCGCCAATAAATAAGATAGGGACAATAATGCTACTTCTCATTACTCATATGTTCAAGGACTGCTCATTACTTCCGAACTAATTTATACATTCTATGCAAACGTATGCTATATGCAGAGG